TTCCAAATTAGGCGATCTAGTCTATACTTGTGTGCTGTGCGCATAACGTAGTAATTCTAGGCTAATAAACGGAATAAGAACACACAACGTTTTCAAAACTAGATATCACGGTTAGTAGAGGCCGATCTTGCTCGCTCGAGCGAAAGAAAGCTCGGTCGAGCGAAGAACTCAAACCCTCAGGTCAGAACCCAGACACACGCTCGAGCGAAGGGACTATAGCTCGAGCGAAGGATAAACTAACTCACTCGAGCGAAGAAAAGCTCGCTCGAGCCAAGAATGCACAGCTACAGGTCCAAATCAAACACTACCTCTCGCTCGAGCGAACAACTCCTCGCTCGAGCGAAGAACCAAAAACCTGGACAGCAACACTTAGTTTCCAAACCCAACCAACCTGAACAAACCTGCCTAACACATCCTATAATTCCAAAAGAGAAAAAAAGGAACAACAACAACAACCATTATACAATGACAGAATCTACGGAACCTAAGTCCGGATACAATAATCAAATGGAAAAAGACCGGGGTCGCTATACATAGAATTCCTCTTCATGTGTTCTTTTGCTTTGTAATGATTTTAGGCACTTTGGTTCTAATACCATGGCTTGGGTTCTTTGAAAATGTGTAGTTTGTGTGGTGATATGGAGATTTGGTTGGAAAGGAATTCTAGAATGTTTGAGAGAAAATCAGATAATGTCAGGGCTTTGTAGGATAGAATTTGTTGTTTGGCTTCCCTTCGGGCTTCTTTGCTCCTAGGTCAGTGTCTTCTAATTTCAAGGGCATACCCTTATTTTTTATTAGTAGACTTTGGACAGCTGTGTGTGATATGTAATTTTCTTTTATTAGTAGAGATTGGACAGCTGTGTGTGATATCTCTGTTTTCCTTCTATTGTAATTAATTTTCCTTTATTGCCAACAAGAGTATCCTGGAAAAATTCTTTAAAGTCTGATATATATATATATACACACTACCCCCATGGAACACCTGTAGAAAGGCCATAAAAATAAGAGGCTTTGCTTATAAGTTATATCGTTTACGCAGTGGTAAAATTAGTGGTAAGCTAGCAACATTGCCACTGATGAAAACTTGTCAATAATTTTCTTGGTGGAATTCTTACATTTTCCTTTGCAATCTCAGTAAATGGACCTATCAAATGGACCTATCATGAACCGGCAGCCAATCTCGGTTAGAAACATCACCCCTGCAATTGTCAAAGTTGTAAGACTCATAACTTCTTTATTTATTTATTTTTTGCTTGCTGCAAAAAAATAAAGGTGGTTTGCAAACTATACCCAATTGACTGAAGTTTACAACAAATACAAAAAAAAAAAGGTATGGAATCTTTCAATCACTCCATTTTTTGAAGGAACCAACACCAATTTAAAACTTACAGAAAAGCTTACACTACTTGAGGAAAAAAACACAGAATCTGTCTGAATAATTCAACCATTCAACTTTAGCAAATTGACAAGTAGCAAAATGTTTGTCTAGAGAAATTTAGTGAAAAGCATCTCGTTTCAACCACTTCAATTTACAAGAGAGCCCACATGGTAAGCATATTCTTTGCATTACGGAGAAGAGAAGCCGCAACTATTGTATTTAACTCAAATGACATGACTGACGGGAAAGAAAGCAATACTCAGAAGGAAAGCAATTTTTTTGATATAAATCATTTTGTTAGCCAATGTCTATATCATGGATAAAAATAGATAAAATTCTAATTTGACTTTAATATCTCTGAATTGAACTGCTTAGACCGGTCTTAGACTTGTTGAACCATTCAACTTATAGTTAGTATTAGAAAATTATGTGTGTTTAGAATTTTACCTAAATGGTTAATTTTGTAATCTATTTAAAAATTTATGAATTTTGTATTTTCAATTAATTGTTCATAAATAAAAATTTTATTATAAAAATAAGTGAAAACAATAACTATTATAAGCTGGGTAAATTACACTCACCTCCCTTGAGATTTTTGACAATTACATTGGCCTCTCCTATTTTTTCCAGAAATTAAATTGACCTCCCTTGAGGTTTATTTTTGATTTGCAAATTCCCCATTTGGTAAGTTGATTGTTAGTTTTACTTTTTTTTCTTTTTTTTGCGAAAGTTAGTGATTAATTGTTTGATTATCACATAGGGGGTTTTAGTTTGATTTTGTATAATATTTGAAGTGATTATCTGTAAATTAAAAATAAAATAAATCAATTAATTTTAGACGAACAAATTAATATGAATTATTAATGGAAAATGAAAAATACAAGATATCACCACCCACTACGTGTGTGTGGAGTGGTGGGATAGTGATTGGAGGGGGTCTCAATCATCACCCATTATTATATTTGCCCAACAACAATGATTCACATCCCCTTTTCCTCCCACCCCTTTTGACCCCCTCTCTCTCTCTCATTGGTTACATTTTCTTTTTCTTTTTCTTTTTTTTCCTGCTTCTCCAATCACCACCTACCACGTGACAAAAGGGGGTGAGGGGTAACCCCCAAAAGGGAGTCCCAAGCATTATTCATATTAAAAGCAGTTAAGTGTGGTGTAACACATGGTGTTACGTTTTGTTCATCTGCCTCCTCTGTTGTAAGTCTATGGTTCTTTGTTTCTTAGGGCTTCTTTGTTTTGTCCAGATTTGGGTTGCCTACGTGTTGTTCGGCTGGGCCACACACAGAAACAAACAAAACAAAATTTGGTTCACCGACAAGGAAGAAGAAAACAAAATTTGCCCCTTCGAAGATGGGCTTTCTCACAAGAGATATATGTGTATATATATAATATCTTCTCGAAGGAGTGCTTGTTGTCCTCTTCTTGCATAACTGTCGGTCCTCTTCGTGCCGTAACGCTGTGAAAATTTGGCATCCAAAGCTCTGCTCTTGCAAATCCTGGTACGTACACCTATGATTTCGTATATTTCTAATGTGATTGCTGCTATTTAAAACGGTGTTACTGTTTTGTGTATTTGTCGGTCCTCTTCCTGGTACGCACAGCATGTGTTTGTTAATATGTCTCAATCATTGAGGAATTCGGCTGCTGAATGCTCCGAACAAAAAAGAAAACCCATCCGGTGTTACTGTTTTGTGTATCTGTCGGTCCTTTTCCTGGTACGCACAGCATGTGTTTGTTAATATGTCTCAATCATTGAGGAATTCGGCTGCTGAATGCTCCGAACAAAAAAGAAAACCCATCCAATTTTCCAGGTTGAAAATTCCAATCCAATCAAGAGACATATTAAAAACTCAAAACTATTTTACACTTGAGTTGGAGTTGTAGTTGTTTGACATGGAAGTTAATACATTGAACTCCTATAGAAAGTGGTGCCTCACCTTAAAAATTTTCTATCCTTAAAAATTTTCTATCGTGTTTTATATCATATTATCTATTTGATTATACATGTTGTGAACCACAGAACATGGACCCTACATTGGTAATTAGTTCCCTTTCAATCTTCGCACTTTGGTAATTCCACATTTGTAATTAGTTTCTTTACAGGTGCACATAAAGTAAATAGGATTGATTGAGTGACTAAAACCATGTAAGATGCAGTGTTCAGAAAAACTTCTGCCTCACAAACATCATTATTTCTTATAAATTACTACATGTACATGCTATATTATTAATTTATTGAGTGTCTTTAGTGTACCCATTTCACTGCATAGAATTATAAATTTTTATTCAGCCAAAGAATACTAAGTGTCATAGGCATCAATATAGCCCATTCAGGATACGAGATACGGATATGACGATACGACAAAACCTTAAAAAATAGGATACGGGTACGGTTAGGATACGTTTGTGAAAAATATACTTTTTAAAATTGTTAATAGTGAGTCACACATAACTTAAAGAACGTTGAGAAACCACAATGTAATTTTATAATACAAACTATTATCTTTTAAGAATTTTGTATTAAATTAAGCTAGTAGCTTGTTTACTTTATAAATTTTTAATAGGTTTTGCAAATATTTCATTTCAGTATCAAGTTTAATATATTTATATTACAATAATAGAACAATTCACGACTTGTCCCTCTACTTTTTCCTTCGACACTAGTGAAAAATATTGTATTCAAGTTTACTTACTTATTTATTTATTGATATTTAATTTTACCATTGTTATATTCTCTTGTTAATTCTTACTTTCTATGTAGTTATAAGGGACATGCAATTTGAAGTGGAATAGAATCAATAGAGTGGTGCTTGAAACTTGAGTTTCCTTTAGTCACTCCTCAAAGCCTTGTTGGTTTGCATGGAACCAAATCTGAAAATGAAATCCTATTCCGTGGATACTTTTCCAGTGTTTGGTAATTGGTATGTTAAGGACCTACAATATATTTCAAATCTGGAACATCTAACGCTTAAAAAAGCAATTGATAACTATTGAAAATACATTATGTTTATAATGCAATTTCCTTATCTCTAGTAAGTTGGGAATAAAAAGATTACAATTTACTTAGATTGTGTTTGGTTGGGAGATTCGGGAAGGAATTTGGAAAAGGAAAAGGAAAAGGAAAATGAAAAGGTAGGTGAAATGTAAATAAAATATACCTACATTTCACCTAGTTTCATACACCTTTTCATGTGAATAAAATATACTTACATTTCACCAAATTTCACACACATTTTCCCTTTCCCTTTCCCTTTCCCTTTCCCTTTTCAAATCCCTCCCCAAATCTCCAGCCAATTCAGGATAAACAATCCCTACACATAATGATGAATGCGAATTTGTCCTACATATAAAAGGAAACAACAAACATGCACACTATTCAAACTTCTTAGATGTACAGTCAAGCTCTAAATATTTGACTAATTTCTTGATCAACTTAAACAATTCAAAAATCAAGTACTAAGAAAAGAAACTGAAACAGAAACATTTTGGGATAACGAGCCATGGACTGTTGCTATTGTCAATGGAAATACAAAATTTTCACTCTTAGAGTTGAAGACCACATAGTGAATAGAAGCTTTCCCACTTGAATTAAAAACATCCTAATGCATGTCAAACTTTGTGCACCTGCTGAAATCTTCGTTGGGTTGTTATTGTTATTCTATGAATTCTATGACACCCAAGTACATGGTGTGAATGTCATTAGTGAATTCTATGTTGGTCTTGAAAATAATGTTACTCTAATACTGTGTTTGGGTGGGGGATTTGAGAAGGGATTTGGAAAGGGAAATGGAAAAGATAAGTGAAATATAAATAAAACATGCCTAAATTTTACCTAGTTTCACACACTTTTTTCCTTTTCCTTTTCCTTTCCAAATCCCCCAACCAAACACAGCATAAGAGATTTTGTTTTATGAACTTGCACACAACTTTCATGTAATGTAGTAAAAATTAAGGAACCATAGACAATTTTTTTTTTGGTTCTGCATGCAATATTTGGTTTTGTACATTGATATCTTCTCGTCTTTTTTTAGCGACTGAATCTTTTTATTCTCTGTTTTCCCTTGGTTTCTTCTCTAAGAAATCCCAATTTGTTTCATCTTTCTTGGTATGGAATGGTAAAAGCCAAAGTTTTATGAGTTCTACATGGTGCTTGCCATATGGCTAATTGTGTCTGTCTTAGACTCTTAGGCGTTTACCTCATATACTTTTTGAATATCTGGTTGTTTATTTCATCTGTATCATTATCATTATGTTAGATTATTTGGTTTAAGTTCACAAGGTAGCGTCCTAAGACTCCTAAGATTAGTCCAGCACTTGGGCAAGATGTTTGTGTTGTATCATTTGTAGGAAAATCATAGATAATGCACCAACAACAATTTCTTTGGTGAAAATCATCTTGATTATGAGTGGAGAAGGAAATTACCTAAAAAGCTGAAACTCTAAGCAAGTCCACATGATAGGTTGACAATTAGGAAAATGAATTTTCAAGATTATATGCGAACAAAATGATTAAAAAGCTGAGAATAGGATAACACGGAGAGAGAATGCAAGAAGTCACAGTTTTGATCTCATGGGATTAACAAAACAAAACATAAAGAATAACAACAAACAACTAAGTAAATAAATAGTGAGCCTATTCCAATTTCATTTCAACATTTTGTCAAACACATGGTGAGCCATAGACCAAACAACAGCACTACCAACGACAACAATAGTAACATCATCACACACAAACTAATTGATTAAAAGAAAATTGGAATTCAACCATTGGCCCAATTCCCAAATTAAGCCTTATTTTTGTTTGGAGGAGTTTTTTTTACAATGACCTCGGCTAGGTAGGACAACACTTGACTAAGCTGTGCCACATCTTGGCCTAGATGCGCCACACCTCGGTCTAGGTCATACCACTCCAGGACGAGATCACTTGGGTGCAAGGTAACATCTCGGCTAATGTGTCAAGGCAAGGACGGAGGTCAACAAGGGGTTCCAAGATACTTCTAGACTGAGGATGACTTCGGCTTGGAATGATCTAGGCGTAACGTAACCTAGGCTTGGATTTACATCGGCTAATCATAACTTAGACAAGCACATAACACTTAGACAAATCACAAAGGTATCAAATCAAGGCATGGATCTCACTCACTTAAGCAGGACAAGTCACGAACATACACGTGCAAGCTTAACAAACCATAATCATACAGATGCTCATGAACATGATTAAGATGAAAAATGTGGGTTCTTACAGATTAAATCATAAAAAAAAGAATTCCATTGATTTTCCTATAAACAGAACCAACATTCTAATGATAGAATTAAAAAAATGAAAACCCAAAGGGTGAAGAAGATGCAATTAAAAACTGAAAACGTGTAAGGTTTTTATGGGTAAATGGATTAAATTTTTTTGGGATTCTAAAAGCAACTTCCGGAAGCAAATTAGGTTTCATCTAAGACCAAATCGTGTAGAGGATGAATTAATTTGATCTAGAGTTGATTTTAGAGTTGATTTTTTTGGGATTTTAGAGTTGATTTTGTGCTAAAACTATGTGCTGTTAAATGTGTATTCCCAAATATTATTGGGAATTCAGAATCAATTTGTGCTATTTGTTTTTAAATGTGATTAGTTCCCTCTCTCTCTCTCTCTCTCTCTCTCTCTCTCTCTCTCTCTTTCTCTCTCTCATGATGTGGAATTGATGGCTGCAACACACTTACCTGTTTTTAATAAATGTTACGGATATCATGGAGGAACAACACGATTAATGTGATTTATTCTCAAATACAAAATACGTCTTCTAATTGCTGTTGATTTTAGAGTTGATTTTGTGCTAAAATTATGTGTTTTTAAATGTGTATTCCCAAATATTATTGGGAATTGAGAATCTCTCTCATGATGTGGAATTGATGGCTGCAACACACACCTGTTTTTAATAAATGTTACAGATATCATGGAGGAACAACACGATTAATGTGATTTATTCTCAAATACAAAATACGTCTTCTAATTGCTGTTGATTTTAGAGTTGATTTTGTGCTAAAATTATGTGTTTTTAAATGTGTATTCCCAAATATTGTTGGGAATTGAGAATCAATTTGTGCTATTTGCTTTTAAATGTGATTAGTTCTGTCTCTCTCTCTCTCATAATGTGGAATTGATGGCTGCCACATGAAACTCACACTATTCTAACAGTCCAACTTTGAAGTTATTTTGTTTTGTCTATTTACAAACAGAGCTTCATTGCAAGAAATAATACGCTATAGCAAAATTGCAATGATTTGTTTTTTAAAAAAAAAACTGCAACACAAAATGCACAAAATATTTAATATTTTCTATTCAATAATATTAACCACACCCTACATTTAACAAAATTGTGAACCAAAAAACAAACCAGTTCCTGCTCTTTTTAAAAAAGAAAAAGACAAGATGTTGCCCGATATGAATTTTGATGAAGCCTTGAAGGTTGTTGGTTGTAGATTTATGTCAATTGAGCAATTGTCTACAGTTTGTGTGTTGTTGTTTCTAAATATTTGTTGTTAAACATGCCATGTATTATAGGTGGGTTAGAAAAAGGGGAGCTCACTTGTGGATTTGGAAGATGGTGCGCGGACTCGCAAAAAAGTTCAATTAGGTACTCCTGCTACTCGATCGATCTCAATCTATAGTTCCAGGTCACCGATGAAATAGAGGTAAAGCTGGGGAAAACATATTTCTTTTCTTTAATTTTTTGCTATAGAAAATTTTCTTCATCTCTTACGAATTTAACGCAGCTTTTAATAGTCAAACCATGAGTCATTATGGGTAACCATGTTCCTCTCCATTTGAAGTAGTACTTTCTTTGTCATGTATGGATTCTCATAGGCTTGGAAATTTTATCTCAGCAAGTGTGGTTAATTTTCCAGGCTAAACTACCTTTGATTAGAATTGTCATTTATTTCTGAAAGAATACTCAAGTAGGAGTCAATAAACATGTGTTGCAATGTATTCGAGACTCGACCAACATGCAAAGAAAGGAAAGGAAGATGGTTTGTACATTAGTTGCGTAGCTTCTTTAGGAAATCTGTGGGTAGTTATTATGGATGCAAGGACAGGTTTTACATCCAAAGTCCATGAACTCTCACCCGTTTTCTTGCACAAGGTATGTGTTATAGTCCTTACCATGAGTTCTAAAAATTCATTAATCAAATTATCCATTGCTTCTTTAAGTCTATTATTTCTAAATTCTTCATCAGGAGTGGATTTTGGAGCAGTGGGACAAGAATTATTACATCACTTCACTTGCTGGTGCATCAAATGGCAGTGCCTTGGTGGTTTATGTCCAAGGGTGAGTGAAAAAAATTCTCTTTGGTTTTCACATTTTGACGTACCTCAATTTTTTTATGACAATAAAAGCCAGTATGAGAAATTTCAAAAGTGTAAATGGTGAACTTGCACATTTTAACCTATGTTACACGGACTCGGGTAGGGGTCGGACACTTCAAAATTAAAAATTGAGGATACGTGGATATGAATCCAAATTTGAATACGGGTACGGGGATACGTTAAATAGTTTTTTTTTTAAAAAAATATATTTATTTTATGAAGATGAGTTAAAAAAATAAGGAATAAATAACATATTTTGTTAAAAAAAACAAATAAAATATAAATAACAAATAAAAATTATTTTAGATATAAAATAAATTATATTATATATAATAAAATAAGTTATTTTTATTTTCATAAAGATGTTGGCCAAATACAAAACACTAAAAAATTAAATAGGCCCAAACTTATTTTATTTAGGCCCAAAATATTAAATTACCCAGAATAAAACAATCTAGGCCCAGATGAAATAAGACAAATACAAAACACTAAAAGGCCTAATCTTTTATTTTATTTATTTGGCTGTAGCCCATTAGCCAAACCTAGCAGATCTCCAACTGTATATCATTTATCTCTTCTCACCCTTTTTCTCCTCTTTCCTCTCTCTGAAATACGTATAGCAGAGTTCAAAAAAATAAAAAAAAGAAATACGCACAGATCTCTCTCCCTCTCACAGATCGAAGCTCTCTCTTCTCTTTCTGCTTCCCACTTGGTGATTATGACTCTCTCTCACAGATCGAAGCTCTCTTCTCCTTTCCACTTGGTGATTATGACTCTCTCTTTCTCTACCACAGATCGAAGCTCTCTTCTCCTTCCTACTTGGTGATTATGACTCTCTCTCTCTCTCTCGGTTCTAACTCTAGATGATGTGGTTATTGTAGCCGAGATTTACTCGTCGATGAAGCTATGATCCAACAAATCCAGATCTCCAACCCAACACATCCATGTAAGTCTCTCAATCTTCTTCTTCCTTTTCGATTAGCCGTGTCCGAGAGAGAGGAGGCGAATCCGACACAGATCCCATTCCCGCACCCGTGTCGTGTCGTGTCGACACTGGTACTTCGCCTCCAACTGCCGAGTCCATGTAACACAGATTTTAACAATGTTATGTTTCAGGATAATCTACTTCCTAAAAGAAAACTAGTCTCATACCTAGAGATGCCTCAACACATTTTGATGAATTAATTTATGCATGACCCATGTTGCAAGCATGTGTGGTATATCTTATAGCGACCCCGGTCTTTTTCCCATTTGATTATTGTATCCGGACTTAGGTTCCGTATATTCTGTCATTGTATAATTGTTGTTGTCGTCCTTTATTTTCTCATTTGGAGTTATAGGATGTGTTAGGCAGGTTTCTTTCAGGTTGGTTGGGTTTGGAAACCAAGTGTTGCTGTCCAGTTTTGGGTTGGTCGCTCGAGCGAGGGCTTGGTCGCTCGAGCGAGGGTTATATTTTGTGTCTGGTGGCTCGAGCCAGCTTTTCTTCGCTCGAGCGAGCTATTGCGTTTAGTATAGACCTGAGAGTAGTGTTTCTTCGCTCGAGTGAGAATTCTATCGCTCGAGCGTGCTTCTGGGTTGCAGACCTGAAGCATTGCATTCTTGGCTCGAGCGAGATTTGCTTCGCTCGAGCGAGGGTTTCGTGTGTCTGGTCACTCGAGCGACCAAGTGTTCGCTCGAGCGAGCCTGTCGGGTTTATATACACAGCAGCGGTTTTTAAGCGAGGGTTCTTTGTGTTTGGTCGCTCGAGCGACCACTTCTTCGCTCGAGCGAGCCTGTGTTATCGAGCGACCACTTCTTCGCTCGAGCGAGCCAATAAGCAGTAGCGGGTAAACACCTCATTTTTTCATGTCTTTTGATTTCAAAACCCTAGATCCAAGCTCTCTCTCTCTCTCTCTCTCTCTCTAAACACCGTCTCTCTAGGGATTGATCTAGTTCTTGAGTGTTCCTACCCTAAGTTCTTTGTAAGAAAGGTAGAGGGTGGTGTGAGCTTCGTTTTAATCTGAAAATTTGTGGATTTGGAGCACTTTGGATTTTAGTCATCTTCTCCTTTGAGCTTCTAATTTTGAGGTAGGGATACCCTACTCCATCTTATGAGTTTTGTCTTTAATTTTGGTCATTTCGATTAGTTGGTAATGTTGGGTGATATTGAGAAAGTTAGGGTTTGTTGTGTAATTTCTAAAAGAGGGGTTTTCCATGTTTGAGTCATATTTATGTTATAGACTTGAAATGGAGGTTGTTTATGGATTATGGGTGAAAAATGAGCCTTAGGGCTATTGTTGGAAAAAGGGGAAAATGCCCTAATTGTATTGAATAATTAATTTGGGGAAATGTAAAATTGAGTTGAGAATATTGAAATTGGGAAAGTATGGGATTGAATGGTGTAGTCGAATAAATTAATCACTTACTTATGGAATAAATTGATGTTATATCTGTTAGTGCATTTATGTTCTGTTCAGAAATATCTGCTTTAGGCTATCGGCGGAGGATAGTCTTGATTGTTGTAGACACTGCATGTTGATTAGAGAAAACTGAAACTAATCACATTGAATATGTCATTGAATATGATCGATGGAATAATACATCAAATATGTGTATTGATTGATCCTTGTATATGATAATTGCTTATATACTTGGAATATGTGTACTGTGTATGAAGAGATAGAGGATGTACTCCATGGTTTGAGGGAAGATAGGGGATGGACTCTTAAACCTGTTTAGGTGAAGATAGGGGATGGGCTCCATAGATACAGCAAATATATGTATCAGATTGAAGTGTTAACACCGCAAATATGTGTATTAAATGGGAGTGTTAATACAGCAAGCATGTGTATTAATTGATGCATCGAAGTGTTTTAATTATAAGTTGTAAACTCATTTGAATGTTGAATCAAAGAAGTGTTTTAACATGAGATGTAATCTTTTTTAATTTATCTGGCCAAGTTCTGAGCCACGTTTTTTAAATGATTTGTATAAGTAAAGGAATATGAAATGAAACATGGACTTTGTGTCATGGAAATGGATTATGTTATAACGTGGTTTATAAGTGTTAACCATCTATCAAATGCTACTGTTTTAGTCATTGCTTATATTTGGTTTAGTATATCTCTACTGGGCTCTGGCTCACCCTATATGGGACATCATTTTCAGGTCCAGGTGATATGCCACCTCCAAGAACATAGCTTGGAAGGTTTTGGGAGTTGAAGACACTTTGGGTTGTTTAGTTATTTTGGTATTACATGTAAATTCAAGCTGAGGGCTTAATGTGTATGAGTTAGTACTCTCTTTTTGTAACCAAGTGTTGGCTTGGAAAGTTGTAAGCCCATAGGACATTTACTTTTATTGTCAACATGTAATACTTTTGTAATGAATACTCTAATAA